CTGCCTGTAGTACCAGAAACAAAGCAACATTAGAAGAAAGAATAACAATGATGGAATTAACAGAAGCAATTAAAAGACAAAAGAATGGCAAACCACCAGGTCCAGATGGTCTACCAGCAGAACTATATAAAACCCTACAGGACTCTTTAAGCATCCCAATGTTTGAAGTATTTAATGAACTATTGATAGAGGCGAAAGTACCAAATTCCTGGATGGAGGCATAAATTACTCTCATACCAAAAGAAGATGCAGACCTGCAAAGGATAAAAAAATATAGACTGATATCTTTATTGAAGGCGGACTATAAAATATTTGCTTCAATAATTGCAGAAAGACTAAAGAGATTCTTAAATCAGTTTATACACTCAGACCAAAATGGCTTTTTACCAAAGAGACAAATAAAAGACAGTATGAGAATGATCTTGAACACTTTGGAATATTATGAGGCGCATTCAGAGAAGCAAATGGCGCTGATCTTAGATGCACAGAAGGCATTTGACAATGTGAACTGGTAATTTATGCTAGCACAATTGAAGGAAATGAATTTTGGGGAGAGATTTTTTAGGATGATCAAGGCAATATATTCTAAACAAACTGCAAAGGTGATGGTAAATGGGGATATGGCTGAAAAGGTTAATAAGAAGGGAACAAGACAACGATGCCCCTTGTCGCCATTACTTTTTCTATTGACATTAGAAGTACTAAATAGCAATGTTAGAGAAGGATAAGGAGACAAAAGGTATGGAAATAAAACAGGATAATATATAAGCTACAGGCATTTTCAGATGATTTAGTTTTTATCCTAGAACAGGGGTCGCCAACCTTTTGGACCTCAGGGACCACCAAACTAATAATTTTAAATCCCGCAGACCACTAATATGAATTTTGACTGACAGTGGCTTGCTGACGTTGGTGGGAAAGTTGGTCCCATAGTCCAGAGTTGCAGTAGTCATAAGACTGGCGCTTTGGTCATCCCGGAGCAGCTGCTACTCCACCCAGGTGCACTGGCCTGCCATGGACTGGAGGAGCTGCTCCGGGATGACCAAAGGGACAGTCTTGTGACTACTGCAGCTCTGGAATATGGGACCGACTTTCCCACCAATGTCAGCAAGCCACCCCAGGGCAGATTTCCCTCCCCCACCGTTGGTCTTACCTTCCAGTTCCAGCTCACGTGGCTCTACTCAAGGTAAGGTTTGTGCTTGGCCGAAGGGTGGGGGGCAGCGGGTGGGCAGGCCATGTGGGTGGCACAGCCTTGTGTTCCCGTGTAGCCTGGATTAATTGCTTTGGGGGGAGTGCTTTGGGGGGGACATTTTTCTGAGGACCACCAAAATTTTCTCATGGACCACCAGTGGTCCCCAGCCCACCGATTGGTGACCACTGTCCTAGAAGACCCATTAGAAACAGGACCTAAGTTAATAAAAAAAATAGAACAGTATGGCAAAGTGGAAGGATTAAAAATATACAGAGAAAAAACTAAGATTTTAGTGAAAAATGTTACAGAGAAGCAGAAAAAGGAGTTAACAAGGAGATTAGATATCCAGATCACTAAGAAAGTTAATGTCAGAGCATTTGCAGCGTGACTGCTATTGTGAGACAGCCCAGGAGCAAAACACAGCACACAGAGGCTTTGACTATTTAACAGTGGTTTATATACAAGACATATACAGAAATATACATGGTAGGCAAATACCTGACAAGCTATCAATCTTAACTCTTTAAGGAAAACTCTGCAATGGAGACAGGACACAAGGAGAGAGAATACGCCCTCTAATGGCTGCCTTATATAAACACCTCTTAAAGTGGTAAAACTTCGTGGACCGCTTCTTAGTCTAAAACCGGCAATACCAATGCTGATTCATTTTCATTGCATCAGCCTTACATTGCATCAGCCTTACTGCAGCTGGTCAGCTCTTAAATCTCAATACCTTAACAGTTAAATATCTAGGGATTCAGTTAACAGTAAGATGTGTTATGATCAAGGAAGATAATTATTATAAATTGATACAACAAATTAAGACTGATCTGGAAAAATGGAAATTTTTGTAATTATCGTTAATAGGGAGAATAGCAACAATAAAAATTAACATATTGCTGAGATTGTTGCACCTGTTTTAAACAATTTTGATAAAATTGGAGAAAAAATATTTTGAAGATCTTAATAAAATAATATTAAAATACATTTGGCAAGGGAAAAAAGCAAGAATTAACCTAAAAATGTTACAGGTCACAAGAAGTAGAGGAGGGTTTAGATTACCTAACTGGGAACTATACTACCATGCCACAGTGTTAATATGGGAGAAAATTAGAGAACAATTGAAGATACCAGTTTGGCTTTCGACAATGGAAGCACTTACTCATCCAAATATGGGAAATATTGTCAGATACAAAGACATTTTGAATGAAAAGGGTGAGCTCAGAACTAAACAAGAATTAAATGAGCAAGGGATTGATATGGTTTGCTATTCAAATGTGCAAATACAGTCTAGATATGAAAAAGGTGCTAAACTGGATGGTTTCTATAAAGAATTGACAGAATTGGATAAAATACTAACAGGAACAGAAGAAAAACTGATAAAAATTGTATAATTATTTACTGGGTATTAAAATGAAAGAACAAGTGAAGGAGTCAATGATAGCATAGGCAAAAAATGGTCATACCATAGAATTAGACAAATGGCAGAAACTATGGGAGAGAAACTATAAATTACCAATGTCAACTGCATACAAAGAAAATTGTTTTATAGATGGCATTTTGCACTGGCAAGACTGGCAATGATGTTTAAAGATAAATCTGCTAAATGCTGGAAATGCCATCAGACACCATATGTGGTGGTCATACGTAGAAGCCAAAAGATATTGGACAAAAATGTGGTTGGAAAAGATGATACAGCAACACATTGATTTAAAACCTGAAATATTTCTGTTGGGGATTATACCTGAAACTTATAGTAAAGAAAAGGCATACTTAATTATTCATGTATTAACTGCAGCTAGAATTGTATTTGCACAAAATTGGAAAAGTGAAAAGATTCCGACAGATGAGAATGTGATCAGGAAAATATTAGAATGTTTAGAAATGAACAGGCTAACACTTGCAATTAAAAAAAAGGAACAAACTGAGTATTATATGGGAACTATTTTATCAATGGGTGGAGAATAAATATGGAAATTAGAAATTAAAGAAGATTAGCAAAAAATAGTAAGCATGTGAATAAGAATTAAATATGCTAAGATGGGGATTGTCATAATAATTAGATATATTATGCATAGTAGTATAAAGTAAGAACAGAGTATTAATACTATAGAAATGAATATGTATTAACTGTAATTGTTATTGCACAAGATATTTGTACCCAGATGACACACTGTTTAAATGGAAGATGGATTGTTTGTATAAAATAAAAAAACTTTTTTAAAAAAAACCCGCTTGGAAAGGGCTGTTAAGCACTGTAAAGAGGTATATAAGTCTATGTGCTATTGCTATTACACAAACAAGTAAATAGGAGCTGGACTAATTTGCATGAAGATCAACCTGAGGTTATGGTTAAATTCTCTCAAGCTGGGATTCATTAGCCCATTTTGCAGTAGACTTTGCAGTTGGTTTCTAAATTATGGCTTATTTATCCAAGGTACATATCACATAACACCGGTATCTATATAATTCATTTATCCACTAGCTCAAAGTAAGGAACAGAACTGGAGCAAATAAATCAAGTACACTAAAATTGTAGTTTATGTTTATGATTTCTTAGGTGAGAATTCCTAGCTTAACCGTTACATGTGAGAAGCCCCTGTATTTAATTGCACCTGACAGCACAGTTAAAATTACTGAACAACCTAAAAATTAAACACATTAAATGCAGGAAGAGTTGAAGGTATACTAGTGTAAGCATATGGTCACCCTCTGCAGTATGTGTTGGTAAATATAGTGTATTAATTATCAAATGGATATATCCTTAAATCCAAAAGGGTTCCAGAGTCAAAGAATGAATTACCTTATTGGATGACCCCTCCTGTTTCTATGTTTTCCTCCTGCAGATGTGCCACCGATTGTGGTGAAGGCTCCTAGCTCCACTTCTTCAGTGGAGGCAGATGCCCAGCAAGATCAACCTCCCCCACCCATCTCCCCAGTCCCCTCACTCAAAGAGCTTCCCCCAGTGTTAGAAGAGCCACCACCACAGGGATCTCCTGAACCAGAAAAGACTGAGGGCACACAGCCACTTCGCCTTGCTAAAAAGCAGGAGACTGCAGCCATTTGTGGAGAGACAGATGAAGAGGAGGTGGAGAGTAGTGGTGAGGGGATCTTCCGAGAGCGGGATGAGTTTGTCATACATGTTGAGGATGTTCAGGCTCTCAAGGTATGTAATGAGTCTTGAGCATTGACATGGGTGTGTACATTAAAGACACACTTTAAATATTAAAATTGAAAGGTATTATTCAAATGCTCTAAGAGCAGAAATAGGTGACTTGTTTCTCTCTGCATGTTTTTAACTTCCTCTGTTGCTAGCTGCAGCCTGTTCAAAAGATTGTGGGAACTGTAATGCAGAATACCTGAAGCATGCTAGCTGAGCTTTTTTCAAACTAGAAACTCTTAGTGTTCTCAAAAACTATATTTAGTGTTGCAGCTCAAAAATTGATTTCAGAATTTCTCAACAGTTAAACTTTGACATTCTAAACTGTAAAGAAAACTTCAGAAAATATTTGACGGAGCAAAACTTATGTAATTAAAATGGGGTAGTTATAAATGATAGGCTTTGTAGTCCAAACTAAATTTAATTGCACTTAGTTCCCATTGAGATCAGGATTAAAAAATGACCATAGTATAGTGACCAAAGTTCAGTGAGTCCTACATATGACTGGTTTAGTTTTATAAGCAACCTATAGAGTCCATTTATTTTCATTAATAGATTCATACAGAAGGACAAATTGGGGAGAAATGCAGCATATCTGGGAGCTCTTTGTTGTCATTTCATGCAATCCTCTTCTGCTACAATCTTTGTTAGAGGATAGTAGTTGAGCTTATTAGCTATCTAATGCTTGGCACCACTGTAACTAATCCTTTGCCCTTCTCTAGCTTGCACTTCAGACTGGGCAGGAACCACCTCCAATCTAGTGAGTACAGAAAGCTTTGCTTCAAAAGTTTATACCAGAAATCAAGGATGGGCAGCGTCAGTTCTGTGCAACCAGCAATGTGAGTGTCAACACCATCTGTTTAAATACTGTCAATTACCTCTGCACCCCACCCCTTTTTTTTGCATTTGGGATAGTCCAATTGAACAATTAGCTTGATCTATTATTGTATTGGGCAAAGGATTGCAATTTCAGTTCCATTTGTTCCCTCATTATTTCTGGAAGAAGATAAGTTATGAATGGGGTGGTCTCCCCCTCCCTTTTCTTTCTGTGTTCAATTCTTTCTTTTCCTGCTTCACCCCTCAGTATCTGGGCTATTTTGGTGATGCCAAGAACTGTTACCAACAACTCTATGTTAAATTCTTGGAGAATATCAACAAAAAAGATTGTGTCCATGTCTGTTCCAAGAAACCTTGGCACCGGCCTCTGCAAGCTGTCAGGTAAAGGATTAGGAAGGTGGGTACATGTAAGAGAGTCCAGTTCTAGCTGAGGAACAGTAATACTTCTGAGTAATTGCTAGATTTCATTCTAGTTGTTCTATATTAACATTCTCCAAATCCTGAACTCTGATTGGTCCGCACGGCCCGCAACCTGATTGGCTGACTAAACACCCGTGATTGGTGTGCTAAGGGTCTACCGCGATTGGCTGAGCTGATCGCGGGAGATTCAAAGCGCTGTCATTGGCCGCCGAGCCGCAGGCCAGTTCTATAAGAAAAGCCATGCGGCTTGCAGTTTTTGTTCAGAACTAAATACTAAATAAAGAGCTGACTGTTCACTGTGAGTCTCGCGTCTCAATGAACCCGATCTACCCAATCTAACACTAGCGATGAGGGTGAGATTGTGAGACGAGAGACCAACAAGCACGTGGCAAATGGCGTGAAACGACCAGCAAGATGGCCAGTAGCACCTCGCCACCCGCACCCTTCAACCAGGCCACTGAGGATTGGGAATCCTACACCGACCGGTTCCAGATGTTCCTGGAGTACAGCAACCTTAAGGATGCCAACGGGCAGAGAAAACGAGCTGTGTTCTTGACACACTGCGGGCCCGCAGTGGTCAAGATGGCCAAAGCGTTGGCAAAGCCCACCAACATAAAAGAAATGGACTGGGCCGACCTCGAGCCCATCCTACGAAACCATTATGCCCCTGCCGTGCCTACCCTCATCCGCAGGCATGAGTTCTACCGGCGAGACCAGCGCAAGTGCGAAGCCATCAGTGACTTCGTGGCCCAGCTGAGGGATCTCGGAGGCCTGTACGGGTTTACCGACTTGGACGAAGCCCTGCGAGACTGAGTCGTTCTCGGACTCAGAGACCCCGTTCTACAGAGCAGGCTAATGGACAAGGGTGACATCTCCCTTGCCGACACCCTCGCAGAGGCAACTGCAGCCAAGGCCACTCGCAAATCGGCGGCCCGGATGAGGCATGCGAATGCGGCAGATCGATCAACGGCCATCGAGACGGCCCCAGCACCGGAGTGACACGCAGAGACCAGCCACCAGGTGACCACCACCCACCATGGTGACGTCGATTCCCGCTCCGACACCGACAATGAGGAGGAAGAGATCCACCGGCTCCAGGCAGAATGCGATCGGCGGGACCGGAGGGGACATAAGTCGGGGTTCCATTGTGCCGGCTGCGGCGGCGATCACCCCCACTCCGAATGCCAGTTCCTCGATGCCATCTGCCGGCATTGTGAGAAGCGGGGGCACATTGCCAAGGTATGCCGGAACAAGCAGAATTACAGCCCCTGGCAACGAGGCAGCAGCCCCCGGCGACGAGACGGCACCCCCCCCCCAGGAACCAAGACCGCCAAGCCGAGAGCCAATGGAGCCGAGACGGCTGGAACAAACAACTCAGTGAGGTGCAGCGAAGAGAGGAAACCCACCAGACGGTCGTCATTGGCCATTCCTCAACCATCAACACCCGGAAGGTACGCGTGGAGGTAGGCATCGAGGACCAACCATGAGAAATGGAGGTGGATTCCGGATCCTACCTCTCCATGGTCTCCTGGTGCACAATCAAATGCCTGGTGCCTACCATCCGCCACCGCGAACTGAACGACCAAAAGCTGACCCTGAAGGACTACCAGGGAAACCGCATCCCTGTAGTCGGCATCAGACATTTTAAAATCACCTTCAAAGGCCACACCGAGGTATACTGCCACTCACGATCGTAGACAAAGACCGTCCCAGCCTACTCGGACTGCAATGGTTCTCCCCACTGGGAATCGAGGTGATGGGCATTCACCACACTGACGATGCAGATTGGGAAGCAGCGCTCGTGAGGGACTTCCAGGAGGTCTTCGACAACACCCTAGGCAAGTACCGGGGGCCCCCAATCTCTTTCAACCTTAACCCAAACGTTGCCCCAATCCGCCTTAAACCGCAGAGAGTGCCATTTGCGCTCAAGCCCAAAATTGATGAGCAGCTAGACAAGCTCATCGCGCAAGGGGTCTTAGAGTCAATTGACCATGCCCGCTGGGAAACACCCATAGTCACTCCCATCAAACCGGATGGTTCCATAAGAATCTGTGGTGACTATAAGGCTACCCTCAACCATGCCCTGCAGCAAAGTGCCTACCCCGTCCCAGTGGTACAGCACCTTCTGCACTCACTGGGGGGGAGGCCGGGTCTTCGCGAAGCTCGACCTGGCTCAAGCCTACCAGCAGCTGCCGGTCGATGCCAAAACCGCCGAGGCACAAACGATTGTAACACACCGGGGGGCTTTCCGATGCAACCGACTCCAATTCAGAGTCAGCGTCACACAAGGAGTCTTCCAGAGCCTCATGGAAAGACTTCTTCAGGGAATAAAAGGAGTGGTGCCCTACTTTGATGACGTACTGGTGGCAGCCGCCAACAAAAAACAATTGGAAACCCGCCCAAGGGCGGTACTGCAGAAATTCAAAGACTCTGGCCTTAAAGTTAAAAAAGGGAAATGCCAACTCTGCACCAAGAGGGTCGAATTCTGGGGGTATCTTCTAGACCGACACGGAATCCACCCCACCGGGAAAAAACTTAGAGCCATCAAGGAAGCCCCCACACCAAAGAATAAGGTGGAACTGCAGGCGTTTTTGGGACTCATTAACTTTTATAATGTTTTCCTACCCCAAAAGGCGACCGTGGCAGAACCTTTGCATAGGCTGTTGGATAAAACAGCCACCTGGACTTGGGGGAAGCAGGAGGAAAACGCATTTCAACAGACCAAAAACCTACTAACGTCAGACGCAGTCCTGATCCAGTATAGCGAGACCCTGCCACTGACGGTAACGTGCGACGTGTCACCCTTTGGCGTCGGGGCGATCCTCAGCCACACATTACCGAATGGGAAAGAAGCACCCATCGCCTTCTTCTCAAGAATGCTGTCCAAGCCGGAGAGGAATTACAGTCAGCTGGACAAGGAAGCCCTAGCAATCATCTCTGGAGTGAAAAGGTTCCACGAGTATCTCTACGGTAGGACCTTTTCAATCATTACAGATCAGAAACCGCTACTAGGGATGCTGGCAGGGGACAAGGCCACCCCGAACATCCTGTCACCCAGGATGTCAAGGTGGTCCGAGTTCCTTGCCTCCTACAGCTACCAGCTGACACACCGACCCAGCAGGACATTTCACACGCAGATGCACTGAGCCGATCCCCCCTACCAGACCTGGAGGACGACCCAGCGCCCACAACAACAACCCTGCAAATAGAGATTCTACCCAGCCCACTCCTGACTGCGCCAGACATTGCCCGAGAAACAAATAAAGACAAATGGCTGGCGCGGGTCTTGAGCTGGGTAGAGAGAGGATGGCCAGAAAGCAACGGCAACGAACATTTCAAAGCCTTCAGGAACCAGCAAACCGAACTATTCTCACAGAAGGGGTGCATACTATGGGGAGACCGGGTGGTTATACCAGAGACTTTACAAAAAAGGGTACTAACGATGCTGCATGAGGGGTACCCGGGCATCATCAAGATGAAAGCCTTGGCCAGGAGCTACGCTTGGTGGCCAGGGATGGACAAACAAATCGAGACATGGGTAGCCATTTGCAAAAGGTGCCAGGAGACTAGGTCCACCCCCCTGCCGCACCAGTCCTGGAATGGGAAACCCCCAGAGGCCCCTGGTCGTGAATCCACATAGACTTCACCTGGCCCACCAAGGGACACACATTTCTCATCACCGTGGATGCTTACTCCAACTGGTTGGAAGTAAGCACCATGAAAACAACAACAACAGAAGCTGTCATAAATAAACTGAACAAACTTTTCGCGACACACGGGTTGCCAGATGTGCTGGTGTCAGACAATGGTCCACAGTTTACGGCACTAGCATTTGAAAAATACCTGGCCGAACAGGGAATAAGGCACGCCTTAACTTCGCCCGTGCACACGGCGGTGAACAGAAGGGCGGAGCGCATGGTTCAATACAAAAAAAAAACATCCAAAAAATAGAAACCGGCGAAATACAAGAAAAAATAAATAAAATGCTATTCATACAGCACATTACACCCAACACAACCATGAATAAAAGCCCAGCAGAGCTACTGATGGGCAGAAAATTGAGGTCCCCACTAGACCGACTGCACCCCACATACAACCCAGAAAAACCCCAGACTCATCCAGTAGACATCGAACATTTAACATCGGAGACACAGTCTACGCAAAAAACTTCATGGGAGACCCACTCTGGGTACCGGCACAAATAACCCAGGTAACGGGCCCCCGATCATACCGACTGCAAACCACCGACGGAAGGAGCTGGAAGCGGCACATCTACCAGTTACGGTCAAGACTAACTGCTGACAGCCCGGATACCCCGCAAACAACTACTAAAGAAACCAGAGTGGGAGGGGGAAACCTCAACAACCAAGCAAGGGGAAGACGAAAGGCCTAAAACGCAGGCAGAACACCCCCAAACGCAAGCAGAACACCCCCCAACCAGAACAAGCCAACCCCAAACAATAAACCAACCATACTCACTGGTAAACCTCGAACCATTGCAGACGGGAGCTTCACCTGGAAGGAGCAGCCAAGCCAGTTCAACCAGCCCAGAGAGACCGGGCGGGAACAGCGAAGCCGACAACTCGACCGACCCAGGTAGACCGGGTGGGAGTTGCAGCCATAGGCCCGGCTCATCATTCCAGGCGGTTCCATCGAAGGGGTTGAGAGCGACGAGGAGCCCGTCCGAATCGGTCGGCAACCAAACACATACTGAGCCGTGCAAGTCAACTAGGCAGGTACGAAGCCCTGCCTACCTGTGCGCCTACGTCACCACGCTCCGTTGGGCGAAACCAAGAGGGGAGGGCTGTTCTATATTAACATTCTCCAAATCCTGAACTCTGGTTGGTCCGCACGGCCCGCAACCTGATTGGCTGACTAAACACCCGTGATTGGTGTGCTAAGGGTCTACCACGATTGGCTGAGCCGATTGCGGGAGATTCAAAGCGCTGTCATTGGCCACCGAGCCACAAGCCAGTTCTATAAGAAAAGCCGCGCGGCTCGCAGTTTTTGTTCAGAACTAAATACTAAATAAAGAGCTGACTGTTCACTGTGAGTCTCGCGTCTCAATGAACCCGATCTACCCAATCTAACACTAGTGTGGCTGTTTTCAAATTGTTCTTTTCTCAGGGGTTGCCTTGGGACATACATGCAGTACATACATGCATTTCTTTCATCTCCATATCCCTCCAATCAAGCTGAATTAGAATTGTCTAGATGACTTCCATACAAGAAACTTTTTCTCATTTTTTAAAAACTCCCCTTAGTGGTTGCTCTTTGCCTTCTGTTTTTTCATCCTTAGTTACATCCTCTCACACATGAGGGTGATTGTCTCTTGTCACTGCCCTTTCACTCTTCCAGTTTAAGGGATGCAGAGCTCGGCCTCTTTTATTCTGTTCTGCTTAATCGTGGAGCAGCTTCTAAGATTAAGGGTACCTTTACTTCCCTCACTGGCTCTTGCTTTTCTGGGCATCCTTTACCTTGGGTTGCCCATCATTGCCTCTGATTCGTCTTGAACTGCGAATTAGCAATAGCGATGGCACTTAGACTTAAATGCCATCCCAGCACTCTCTGGGCAGTTTACAATGTCAGCATATTGCCCCCAACAATCTGGGTCCTCATTTTACTGACCTCGAAAGGATGGAAGGCTGAGTCAACCTTGAGCTCCATCAGGATTGAACTCCAGGCTGTGGGCAGTTCGCCTGCAATACTGCACCACCAGGGCTTTCTACAAATTAGATTGTAGACTGCCTGAACTTCTATTGTGCTTGCTGGCTGTTGGGATAAAAGGATTCCCAGGGCCTCACCGTTTCACTGATTTTTCCATTATGGCTTTCTTTGCACTCAAACTCTCCTGCTACAGTAAAACTGACCTCTCAAGTCAGCTCCCCCCTTTCACAGTCCAAGACACATGGTTTTGGCTCTCAGTGCTCTGTTTTTCTGGTATAGGAGACAAAGTCAGCCCAAGGCTTTTACCCCCAAGGTTCCAGTGACACCCAAAGTTGAAAAACCAGAGAAGCTGGAAGTCCCAGAGAGAGCTGAGAAACCCAAAAAGTCTATTAAGTTTGAGAAGCTCCCCAAGGCTGAAAAAATGGACAAAACAGAGAATCTTCCCAAAGTGGAGAAAGCACCTAAGCCAGAAAAGCCCCCCCAGGCAGAGAAATTAGCTAAGGCAGAGAAGCCCCCCAGAGTGAAAAAGAAGACACTCCTGTGACCATGCTCACAAAAGATGCCCCAGGCAGCGGAGCTTCTAAACCCAAGCCAAAGCCAGCCAAAGTGAAAGCTGAGTCACCCCCCAAGAAGAGGAAAAAATGGCTCAAGGAAGCAGCATCTTCTTCAGACTCAGATTCCAGCCCTGACCAGCAGAGTGAGGAGGGTGAGTAGAAGGGGAAAGAAATTCCACCCAGGTGATGGGCATCAGAAACAGGCAGTTTAAAAAGGATACCAAGGACCTCTGTAGTCTTGGGAAGGGAAGAAATGTGGCAGAGCTACTTGATCCAAAGGCAGGCATCATACATTATACCAGTGTTTTTCAATCTTGGCAACTTTAAGTTGTGTGGATTTCAACTCCAGTAGGCTGGCTGGGGAATTCTGGGAGTTCAAGTCCATACATCTTAAAGTTGCCAAGGTTGAGAAACACTGTATTACACTGTTATGTGCTTGTTGGTAGTTTGGTGTGTTGTATGAACCTAGCCATTGGGGTTTATTTAACAGATCATACTGTGGCTTACTGCCATATGTGTGAACTAGATTAAGGAGAAATTGTGATTTTACAAAGGTGGGGAATCTGGAGCTCTCCACATGATCTGGATTAGAAATCCCAGCAGTTCTAGCCCACAAGAAGAGAAAAGAATCCTGGGAGTTGTGATCCAGCTATTTTTAAAATGCCACTGGTTCTCTGAAAAGCCTTAGGAAAGGTTCTTATCATTAACCATAAGAGCTAGACTGAGAGAAATTATAGAAGGCTGACAATAAGGAATAGAAAGAAGTCCTGTCTACAAGGGGGGGCTTTTAAAGTGTAAGATGAGAAGAAACTCCAGATGAGTCAAGGAGAGAGCAAGACTGGTCTTTCTCTATTTGGTTGTGCTGTATGTATAATCAGCATTTCTCATCCTTGAAAACTTTAAGATATGCAACCTTCCACTTCCAGAATTCTCCAGCCAGCATACCAGCTGTGGAATTCTGGAAGCTGAAGTCCACACTTATTAAAGTTGTCAAAATTGAGAAACACTGCCATAAACTTACTGTGTTTTGCACTTGTTTGTTAACCTGTATTGAACATTTTGAAAAACAGGGCTATAGCTGTCTTCCATAATAAAATAATGCTCCATTTCCCATTCAGAACATTTGCTCACAGGTCACATTCTCAATACACGAGCCAGGAAGGAGATGTACCGCAGTTGTGTGGAAATGCTGGTCAGCACTGCCCTTGATCCAGACATGATCCAAGCTCAAGGATACAAATGGTGCGTATTCTTGTGTAGAGGTGCTTAGATGGGCTCATAAGCCAGTTTGAAAAGCCACTGGCTTTTGTGTCCATGGGCCTTCGGGAACCATGTAGCCCTCCTGTTTACTTTCTGCTTCGCTGTGGTCACTCATATTTGCTGTATTGTGGTTGGCCTTCTGGAGATACAAAAGCTTTTTGTTCCCTAGCTATATTTGCTTAGGAAATTCCTTGGGCCAGAACAGACTGAATATATACATTCTTGTTCTATGTTGCCATAGTAAGAACTATAAATATGCTATTAGAAAAGTATAGATATCTCCACATTCTTCCTAAAATGCCTGATGTTGCAAAATGCACTCTAAATCCCTCAACTTTGATCTCTTGTGACTAGAGAACACCACTGAATGTTTCAATGTACTCCTTTGTAGCAGTCATTTGTATTAGACAAAGATATGAAGGGGTGGTTGGAAGAGAGGTTCTCAAACTTTGCAATCCCACAGCCCTTTAAAATTATCAGTGAAATTCTGCATAAAAGTAAATAAAAACTAAATAATAAATAAAACTAATTGTTATTGGCAGATATTTTGACAAATGTCAAGACCCATGGGTTTAACCATTGTTCATAGTGCTCTCTGGATTTTGTTTGTTGCTTTGCATATGTAAACTTGCTGTAGGCTTCTCCTGGCAAAGCAGGAGTGAGCTTTAACAGTGCTTCAGTTTTGCCTGCCTAAGCCCAATGAACTCTCCCCTGCCCCCCCCAAAAGTGTGCCACCTCTAAATAGTTTTTTTAGGGGACCCACCATTTGAGAACACCTGGAGTAGAGTGGTCCTTAAGCGCTTATTTGTAACACATACCGTAGTATTTTGAGAAATCTGGTCTTGCCTAAAAAAATCCAGCCTCTTCAAAAAAGAAATGTGACCTTTGAAACCTTGTTATGCTCCTTTCACTTTCTTGTCTAAAATTCAGTCCACTGCAGCCAGCTTTCCTTAGTGCAGGATGCTGGCTGCCCATGTCCTGCATTGCAAGTTTCCTGTCCCTGCCCATCCTGGATGGGGGTTTTTTGTGACCTTTGCCATATGTTTTGACAATCCTATCCCAGATGAACTGTATCTCCCACCCATGAGGAAAATTGATGGGATTTTGAACAATCATAAGAAAAAGGTGCTGAAGAGAGTATCACTGAATCCATCGCTACAGGTACAGAAGAGGGCGAGTAGAATATGTTATTCCCCCACAGACTGATTTTGGAAGAGGGTATTTATTCTAAGTATAGACTTTACTTTGTTGCCAAGATTTAGCTCAAGTGTTTTCTTCTCATTCACCTTCACAACAACAGTTGGGAAGCAAGGAGAGGCCCTGAAGACCAAAAGGTTTGTAACACAATCATAGTTTACATAGGCTAAGAATCCAAGCATGTTGCCTTGGATGTTTCAGTTCCTCTAGCCATGTATCTTGCTTGTAAATGGCTCTGCACTGTCACCCTTCAATTCATGAGTCAGCAGCTTTTTCATGTGGCGTTGGTATTAATCATATATGGTGGCAGGAAAGCCAGAAATTTAAATTGGCATTTTAAAAGAAATGAGAGTGAAATTTCACTTGATCACCACATTGCACAAGGTTTCAGTGACCCTATTCCTAAGGCCTCACAAAATCTAAGTCAAAATGCTGAAATGTATCTCATGAGTTTTAGCCATGTCTTCTTTTCTTAGGGGGTGGTGGTATTTTTGAAGATCTATGGGTGGTATTTAGAAGTATCTCAAGTGCTACTTTGCTGGCCACTTGTTTAACATTTTCTACTTATAGTATACTTTTAACCTTAGAGATATTTGCAAATTTTTCACCATAAACAGGAAAACTTGGTTGTTCCTTTCTTTCCCCTGTTTTAGCAATATACTGTGAAAGTCAGCTTTAACTTTGCATGCATTGTACTGGGAAGAGGATTTATACAGTTAGTCCTTGTTTAGCAAATGGCTCATTTAGTGACCATTCACAGTTACAACAGTTATGAAAAAGTAACTTTACAACCAACCATTGCATTTGTGACCTTTGCAAGTCTGTAAAGCAAAGGAAAACTGAAATAATATAATCACAGTCAAGGTTTCACTTAGTAACTGTTCTGCTTAATGGCCAAGTTGCCAGACCCAACTGTGGTAGCTAAACAAGGGCTACCTGGATGCCTTGTTGGAATGATCAGAAAAGTCAAACGAAAAGGCTGTTTTTCTATCTTTTAAAATGAGGCATCCTGCTCCCAGCTAAGAAAAGCCATTTCTTCTCCATTCTGCTAAAAAACAGTTTGTGAAATAAGAAAAAATAAAATCTTCAAATACAGGGAAAACACTGAGGTTTCTTTGGTGTCACATTGCCCGGGCTCTAGACATGCAGTACATGTTGGACTAAGGGTATGAAACTGGTTCTTTAGGATCACCTGATTTTCAGGACTTTGTAATATTGGTGTCTGCTTGAATAGCATGTAGCTCAGTTTTTCTAATCAATGAGACTCATGTTAAGTAATGTTGTTCTTGTCTGTTTTAAGGAAAGTAATAGTCTGGTCCTACTTATATACAGGGGTAGTTCTCCCCTAGACCACCTCCTACATCTAATCTGTTGTCTCTGGAGTCTTTTCAGTGGCTATACCCAACTTTATTATTTCAGGATGTTGCCATTTCCCTCTATATATTTAAATAGATGACTTGACCCAACAACTGGAGGTTGTAAAGAAGCTTCTTCTTCTCACATTTACTTTCTTCCCCATCCAGGAGGCACTGCACATGTTCCCCCAACTCCATGCTGAGACATGTGATACAACAGTTAGGTTGAGCCCAGGTGGTGATCCTTACAACCGCAAGACACTCAACAAACTCAAGAAGAATGTATCCAAACCACAGGTAAGTGCTGTGGATGAAGGTGGTGCCCAGGATCTGTGGTAATCTTATTCATTTATACTGATTATTCTTATTTCTCTTTTCCACTAGAGAGCTCAAGGTAAGAATAGTTGTGCTCCTACTTATCTTCTGTTTTATACTCACATATTGCAAGTGTGAACAATAGAGCCATGGGCCATTAATGAGAGTTTCATGACTGAGAAGTGACTTGAATGTGGTTTACTGTCAGCCTTGTAAGGTAGTCCAGACAAGAAGCACACCCAGAAGTACTAGCTTTAACTTTATAGTAAGGTTACGTTAACAGAATTTTGCAAGTCTGAAAGTACATCCCCCGCCCACCTTGCCTTTACAGTTCGAGACATCAGAGAGGGTCCCTTCTGAAACATTTACCACACCTCCATTCCTTCTGTGGATTCAGCTGCTGCTTGTCTGACCATTGCCTAGTCTGCCATTCTTTCTCCTGTCTCTCATGGTCATTCCCACATACGATTACAATTACCTTTTCCTACTCTGATGCACTAATCCCAGCTTTCCCCTACCTGGTACCCTCTTGGGAAATGCTGCTCTGGGTTTATATTATGCTCTCCATCGCTTATTGGTAATCAGAAATAGATAGTTTATAGCATTGCTTCTCAACATTGGCAACTCAAATAGCTGACTGGGGAATTCTGGGAGTTGAAGTCCACACATCTTCAAGTTGCCAAGGTTAAGAAACACTGGACTTTAACCTGTGGGCCACATGCAATTGTGATTTTCTGTTTTATCTAAAGTGCAGTTCTCAGTGCACCTACTTTGTACCTTCAAAAATTCTAAGGTCTCAAAAATGTAAAAAAAAAAAAAAAGCCCTCTGGCCTCCCACCATATCACCAGTACATCCTCAGAGACCAAAGAAAAACATGAATTGGAAAGTGCAGCTTCTGCCTCTAAAAACCATATGTATCATTATAGAAGCCATTAATTCTGTACTTAATTGTGCATTGATGATTAACATTAAATCTTCCTCCCCTTCCTCCCTAATATAACAACTTATTCTAGATTCATATTGCTAGCAGATATGCCTACTCTTCTGCAGCAGTCATCTCTGACTAAATTTATGTAGGTTAGGAGCACTCTTATACAAATTACATTCATTTTGGCACACTTTTTGTTTTGTTTGGTTTTATGGAAAAAGTATTCAGTTTTTCATGGGGCTCCATTTAAAATATAATTTTAAATTCCGGTTAAAAAAAATCAATCCATTATTTTTTAAAAAATAATAGTGGTGCTATGTAACTTTGTCCTCTCCTGATGAATCTTGGGGATATTAGATAAAATAGATAGGATTTGTATAGTTTTTGATAAATAAATAGATAAGAGATATGAAAATTAGAGCCTATGTTAGATGAGATACAGAGAAGAAGCTTTAGTGAGAAATTTGAGTATACTTAGAAAAATACAATTCTTCAATGCTGTAAGGAAAATTTGACAAAATTCATGCTTCCTTCCTCTATTAAGAAGGTCGCAAAACTTTTAAAAAATAGCAATGGATTATGAACACAGAAAAAAATCAGAAAGTTAGTTTAAAAGGGCAGTCCCACGAGACTTTAATTTAAATTGAGAGTGAAGGCAATCTCAATTTAAGCATAATAGTATAACTTCCACTCCCATCACTGAATAAAACAACAATTTAATGTTAGTATTCCTTTGTCATTTTGTTAAAAAATAAATAAGTAATCTCTTCAAGAAGTTCCCTAGCTGAATAGTGCTCACTCTTCAACTATGGCTTTACAAGTTATAGAGATGTTACGAAGCACAGCACTCAGAGGAGGTATTTTTGCGACAAATTAGTCATGGAAAACAAAAATCCATATATATGATATGTGCTGATACAGTTTTGAGCCATAGGTGTTTAGTGGTGGGTTTCCCTTTGAAAATTCCCTTGAAATTAGTTTGTGATTATTGAAATGCGCATAGACATGCTTAGCTAAGATAGTAACCTGGATCCACCAGGATGTGGACTGGCCCATCTTGTGTAATGCCAGCAGGTGTCGGAACTCGTGTAAAATGATCATCCAAAGAGAACAAATAGAGATTCTTGAATTAAACCTCTCCTAGTAAACCTTTACCCATCACACAACCCAAATGGACTTTTCTTAGTACAATGACAACCCCAAGAAACTTTATTGATTAGTCGTCTGACCATATCAATATAAAATCAATACATAAAAAACAGTAGGACATACAGTATTCATAACAAATCACACATACAGTTAACCCCAATCTGTTCTAGGTTGTCTGTTCTCTTTGAAATGGCCTTTGATATAAAAATTGCATCCTTGCTAGCAATATACAGTATATGCAAGACATAAGGTATCCCAGTATTTTTTAGTTTTTAAATAAGGATCTAAATTAAGCAGTCCTTTCTGCAGAATATAGTTTGCAATCAAACAGGAGATGTGCAATGTCTTCAACAGCTGGTGCATCACAGATACACAGTCTATAATCTCCTTGTTCAAAATGTGCTCTACAGAAAGCTCATCCATCATGAAACTCCTGGATTCATGCCTCAGCACATACTTCAAGTTCAATGGGAAAATCTATAAGCAAATACAAGGTACCCCAATGGGATCACCCATATCAAGCCTAATAGCAGAATCAGTCATGCAACAACTCGAATCCATAGCTCTACCCACCATCCAGCCAAAATTCTGGACATGCTACATCAATGACACCTTCATCATCAGGAAACGCTCTCAAATTGAAGAAACACACCACCTACTCTATAACATATTCCCTGGGATCAAATTCACACATGAAGAGGAAACAGACAACAGACTCCCATTCCTCAATGTTGACATAAGAAGACTAGACAACAGAGAACTAGAAACACATGTCTACCGCAAACCTACACACACAGACCAGATCCTCAGCTTTGCAAGCAACTACCCCACCGCACACAAAAGAAGCTGTGTCCAAACCCTGTTCAGAAGGGCCAGGATGCACTGCAGCACCACAACACTAAGAAAAGCAGAAGAGAAATGGCTGCTCGATGTCTTTCTCCGTAATGGCTATCCAAATAACTTCATATTCCGACACACAGCACCCAAACCACAACACACCACACAGCCAACCACTACGCAAAAAGTAACCCTACCGTACACAAAAGGGGTGTCGGAAATGGCAGCCAGAATCCTCCAACCCCTAGGAATAACAATAGCCCACAAACCCACAGCCACACTCCGCCAGGAATTATCCAGAACCAAAAACAAAATACAGAAGGATGAAAGAAACAATGTAATCTACAAAATCAACTGTAACCATTGTGACCAATTCTATGTGGGACAAACATCACGTCAATTAAAAACCAGGAACCAGGAACACCGGCTGGCAGTCAAATGCCATGATCCCAAATCCTTAATCTCTACCCATATGGACACCAAACAGCACCAGTTCAATTGGAGCAACACAAAAATTATTGGCCACGCTACCACCCACCACGCTCATGAGTTCATTGAAGCCTGGCACTCCACAAGCAATTCTATCAACTGTCATGGCCCCATTGGAGCCTGGGTCTGAGGACAAGATGGAGCCAGGGCCGACGGAGGAGGATGACGTGGCCTCGTTGGCCCTAGAGGAACGACCGGAGAAGCAAGACGAGTCAGCCCCGGGTCCCTCGGGCCTTGGAAGGGTTGCCAGTGACAGAGAGAGGGCGCAGGATGACCAAGCAAGAGGGGAGGAGAGGGAAAGTGTAGGCAGTGGAGCAGAGGAGCAACAGAGCTCCTGAGAAGAACACTTGCCTCCCGATCCTTGAGTACAGAGAATGGAGAGGAGGCAGGATCAGCGCAGGGCAAACAGATGACTTGGGAGGAGGGCACCCTGCCCCTTGTCAGAAGGCTCACCTGTGGAATAAATTAAAGAGACACCGTGGGGAGGGGTACTTTTCGGGAACAAGCATTGACTTTTTCCAGCCACACTTGCAGTTACCAACATCTTGCCACTTTGCCTAGCCTTGTTTTGCCTGGGTTCGACTTGCCTTGCTTTGCCTAGCCTGGCCGTGGGCAAGTACTCAGTGACACAGCTCTGCTTTGGGTTGTGCTGCAGCCCCAGTGACCCCTTTGTGCAACGAAGACTCCCTGGAACCAAGTTTCCTGAACCCTGGCTGCTCTCAGAACTGGCTGCTCCTCTGGACTCACAGCAGCTTGGAACTAGTGGAGGGGTGTGTGTGTGTGTGCGTGCGTGCATGTGCATGTGTTTGGAGCATTGCTCTTGGACTTACAATGAACTGTGGGAACTTTGGGGGAAAAAGTTGGAGCAATGAAAGGGAGTTAAGCCTTCACTCTGGCTGTGTTGCTTTCATGCCCATCCCGGGGTCACATCACATCAACAGACACATTGACCTACAACCAGCCTACAAACCCCTCAGAATCCAATTCAACCACACAGCCAACCAGAGACATCACCAACCTCAACCAACCCACAAAAGCACCCCCCCAGCAGTTCACCTCCCAATGACCCTAACCTGTAATCTTACCACAAGACCCATAACCACTCACTGATGACCCACATCTGAGCCATCATGAGACCCTCACTTGACACACCCACACCTGAAGCCCTTATAAACAGAAGAACACTGACACTGACATCCTCTAAACTCTGCTGAAGACTTTACCTAGCCTGGTAATGAAATGTTTGTAAACCAACCCACAAGCTTGGAGAATGAAACCTTAACCTATACCCGAGCTACAGATATTCACCACTACTGCAAAGTTCTTCTAAGATGTTGAAACATATAAGTTGTAAAATACTTTTCTGTCTGGGAAGCAGATTTGTGTTGAGCCAACCACTTCACAGACTTAACATATTTAAGGAATGCAATAACATCTTAGGCAGTCACATCTGTTAGGAATGATAGTCACCTAACAGTTGGGTTGGCAATATATAAACGAGGATAGTCATTTAATACTGTTGTATCTTTAAGAGAATGTTGTAATTGTGATTAGCTGAGGTTCCTCCAACGGCCATAAGATGGAGCCAGAAACCTGGTTTGCTTTCTTCTTGCATTTTCCTTGTTGCCTTTTGCCTGAACGTCATTCTGCTTGGATTGCTGTGAGTCTTGCAAACTATTCGCAAACTCTGTTTACTGAACTTTGTTCATGATACTGGACTTTGTTTTTGGATTATCCCTGGACTGATTGTATTGAATACTACCTGCTTTAACTGTGTATGATTTGGACTGTTTGTTGGACTTTGTTTACCCATTTACTGGAAGTAAAACCTACATTTTACTATTCAGTGTATCTGTATGCTGGTTGTGTGTTATTCAACACCACTCTCACTACGTTTCCCTGAGTGCACTCATCCTCCTAACGGGGAATACCTCAACAACATCACTTTGTTTTAACCTTTTATTGGCCTTCAGATATGATTGGACTGGGAATTGGATAAAGAATCCATATTGTGTGATGGCATTTGAAAGTTGGGCAACCCAAGTGCAAAGAGGCATATTAAGGATCTGCTCTTTGAAATTACAGCTTGGGTAATTGTCTGGGTCCATAAATAAGATCTTCAACCAATACCCGAATACTTTAATTACTATATTATTTTGTATAGGGGGTATATCCAACTCTGCCTTACTGCTGGAATTGGTATAGATTTGTCCATCCCCAAGGTATATTTCAAAAATTCAAAATAGTTCTTATCTATAATAATGTGGCTATTTAACTGTCTAAGCT